AATGTGTGTGTGTGTGTGTATACGTATTTATATATATGCTTGCATATGTATATATATATTTATATCTCCATATACATTATATCTGCAGCCATAATGATCAGTGATCATAAGCCTGTAAGCGCTGTGCTGAGTGTGGATGTGAACATTGTGGATGAGGCTAAGCTGGAAACAGTGTACCAGAACGTCTTGCGCGACAATGACCGACTCAAGAATATTGCTCTCCCAGACGCTACTGTGGATACCAATATGGTTGAGTTTGGTGACTTGAGGTAAAGTTTAACGTATATTGCCTCTGGTGATACGAATATGGTTGAGTTTGGTGAATTAGGGTATGGTTTAACGTATATTGCCTCTGGTGATATGAATATGGCTGTTTGTGTGGGGTTGTTCGGTGTTTTATAGTCTACTTAGTGTATACTGAGAAAAGATAAATCTATCTTATCGTATATTGCCTGTGGCGATACTATTATAGTTGAGTTAGATGTCTTCAGGTATGCGTTAAAGATACTTATTCTGTTCGTTGGTGTGAGGCCTTCATGTCGTATACAGAAACTTTACATTAACGGTAGACATGGATACAGTGCGGTCAAATTTGGTGACCTAATGTATGGCTGTTATGGTTAAGCCCGGGCTGAAGATGGTTATATATGACGCATCCGTAGACTTGTTCCTAATCCTCCAACATATAAACATATACTTCAATCCTAAAACAATATAAACATATACTTTAATATCCAACAAGGCGAATTGGGTGATGCAAAAATTGTGAGGTATTCACCTCTCACGTCTTTCCACATATCACCTAATGTCTCCTCGTGGCCCCATAATCTCTCGTCCTGATTATGACTATATATATATATATATATATATATATATATATATATATATCAACCGCTTATCAACCGCTTATCAACTACCTCATTCAACTGTCCTGCAGGTATATGGAGGCCATTAAGCACCAGGTGAAGTTGACTAATGTGGGTTATGATACTGTGAGGTGGTGCTTTGTGGCCCGTTCGAAGGACTCGGCCGACGAACAAAGTCGCAAATCACAGAAGTTCCATGACTCATGGTTGGTAGTCAGTCCGTTGAGAGGCTCCCTCGCACCCGGTAAGTGCGCGTATGTGCACGAGTGTATAAGCTCATTATATGTACCTAGTCACACAAATTACGATAGATGCCAATGCCGGGATCCGTACGAAATTAAGTACTTGTTGTCATGTTGTTGTCATGCCAACCGTACAAGAGCACCATAGAAACCAATATACGCCCCTAACGCTAAACCTTGTTTCTTAAACGCACAGGTGAATCATGCGAATTTACAATAGAAGCAAATGTGGGACCAAACACAGCTCACCGACACAATATGACACCGCACAAGAACGAAACTAGCGTGCAGTAAGTGATGTATATAGATATGTATGTATATATGTATGTATGTATGTATATGTATATATATATATATATATATATATATATATATATATATATATATATATATATATATATATATATATATATATATATATATATATATATATATATATATATATATATATATATATATATATATATATATATATATATATATATATATAT